AAGGGGGGGGGGGGGGGGGGGAACAAAATGAGACTAGATCTCCTAACAGTCTTTTAAGACGTTCATTCCCCAGATGAGATGCAGCAGTTTGAAAGGCAACTCTTCAGGAAGTGAGTAGGCAAGCTAAAACAAAGCTTCACAACAGTTATCTCCCTGAACTGTAATGGCTCACTCTGAAAATTACTTCATGGCCAAGACCCATAGGAAACGGTGCAACACAACAAAAACTGAACACGCTTCTCCATCAGCAGTATGTCTCTGACCAACATTTGTAGAAAGTTCTCATTAACACTGCATGCTTGTCATACTGAGCACTTCATAAGGCTCGTCTTTGCATTATTTTCCACAGACATTTCAAAGTCCTAATTGCTGCAGCCACAGAAGAATGGCTTCAGAGCTTGCAGAACACAATACCTTCTCCACTCCTTCCACTTCCACAAAATGTTATTTAAGGTAAAGACTGGGGTGTGGGTGCCAAATCTTCTCCTTTCCTGTTCTCCCATTCACTGCTTTTTAATCACAGAATCACAGAATCTCAGGAGTTGGAAGGGACCTCGAAAGATCATCCAGTCCAACCCCCCTGCCAGAGCAGGATCACCTAGACTAGGTCACACAGGAACACGTCCAGGTTGGTTTTGAATGTCTCCAGAGAGGGAGACTTCACAACCTCTCTGGGCAGCCTGTTCCAGTGCTCTGTCACCCTCACAGTAAAAAAGCTTTTCCTCATGTTCACATGGAACCTCCTATGCTCCAGCTTGCACCCATTGCCCCTTGTCCTGTCATTTGCTATCAATGAGAAGAGCCTGGCTTCTTCCTCCTGACACTCGCCCTTTACAAATTTATAAACATTAATGAGGTCACCCCTCAGTCTCCTCTTCTCCAAGCTAAAGAGACCCAGCTCCCTCAGCCGCTCCTCATAAGGAGGTGCTCCACTGCCGCGATCATCCTTGTGGCCCTGCGCTGGACTCTTTCAAGTAACTCCCTGTCCTTCTTGAACTGAGGGGCCCAGAACTGAACACAATATTCCAAATGCAGTCTCACCAGGGCAGAGTAGAGGGGAAGGAGAACCTCTCTCCACCTACTGACCACAGCCCTTCTGATACACCCCAGGATGCCATTGGCCTTCTTGGCTGCAAGGGCACATTGCTGGCTCATGGTCATCCTGCTGTCCACCAACACCCCCAGGTCCTTTTCTGCCTGGCAGCTTTTCAGCCACTCTTCCCCAAGCCTGTAGCGCTGCATGGGGTTATTGCAACTGAAGTGCAGGACCCTGCACTTGGCCTTATTGAAGCTCATACAGTTGGCCTCAGCCCATTGATTCAGCCTATCCAGGTCCCTCTGCAGAGCCTTCCTACCTATTCCTATTATTTGGTCTGCTGGAAAGTCAGCATTACACAATAATTTGTTGTCTTGGCTAACAGCCAGCCAGCTATACTGCATGAAAATGGATAAAAACCAGACACAGAGAAAGGTATGTCTGTGGGTGCATGTATATAAACTCTCTCCTAAGACACCAGGATAGGTACTGTATAAATTAGCACAAAGAGCTACCGATACCTTGATATCATCTAGAAATGCAATATCTTCTTTCTGTATTGCTTTGTCTGTCCATATTAAGGCACTATAGGTCTTTGTCTTTTCCTCTTCACCTTCCTTCATACGACCAATTGCCTCTCTAAACAAAAGAAATTAATTACTCACATAACATAAGCATAATTATATATTTTGAATGCTTGCAAAACTCCCAAAGCATCGCTTTCAAATCCCTTGCCAGCGATGATAAATACTGACCTGGTAACAAGCTGTAAATCTCGAACCTGTATTTTGTCTGAAGAGTTATTAATTGTCTGTGATATTTAAAAAAGAATCAGTTAGCAAAACTGTTCAGTTAGAGAAGAAACACATGCTTTATGAGTTCCGTGAGGTGCAAATGATTTACCTGCTGAAGTCCCTTCATTTCCTCAGCAGTAAAATGTATTCTACGAGGATTCACAAGCTCAATTGCGAAGGGCCTTCCTGGCAACATGCACAGTCATAAAACATAAAAACATGTTGTTCTAAATTAACGTTTGAATTTATGCAGTAAGGTTGGAAGGTGTGAAGATTGTCTGCTGTTATGCAAACAAGGATAGGACTTGCAGGTTTAGGGATGTAGCATCAGACAGAAGGAAAGAAACAAGGGACTTCTTTTGGCTACTAAACCCCAGTATCAGCAATAAGTGCAAATTATGACTTCCCAGAAGACATCTTGTACAAGTCTGTGCTAATTAAAAAATAAAATAAGAAAAAAAGTTAATTAGCTTATTTTCTGTCACCTACAGCAATGCCCAGGTGCAAGATGATGTTAAATCCCACTCCCTCAGCTAAACATCTGTTGCAGTAGCTGCACTTTGTGTGCTCAGGGCCAGGGACGATCCCCAGTATAAGCCATGCCAAGAACTACACTGCAAGGCAGAGAGCAACTGGAACGCATCCTAGTTAATTTTTACTTTTTCTTTCCCTTTTTCCGTTGGCTATAGTAGCTTCAGCATATTGGAAAGCAACCGACCTTTATAAAGGACCCAAGTTCAAAAGGAAAATAAGCCTTACCCAGTCCCCACTGACAGTAAGGCAAAGTAGAAGGACTCAACAGAAAACAAGACAGGAATCAGTCTGACATATATGGCTAGGAAATGAATAAAATGAAATATTCCTGACGAGCTATGTGTTTCCATACATCTGTGCAGCCAAGGACACTGAAAAAGGGCTCCTCACTCACTTGGTTTTATGAAATTGTTTGGGTTTTGGGAATAAATACATAAATATCACCAAAATGTTTCTGAGAGAAATTTTCAAAGCATGTCTAGTCACATACTTAAGCACTTAGCATTCAGCTAGATCTATTAGGGTAGCTTCAGTTAACCATTTGGGCTGTTTCTGTGTTTCACAAGGGATGTTCCAAGCCTTACCATTGCCTAGTGTTCGTACATCCACATCTTCTCTTCCAGAGGAAGAAAAATTAAAGCCTATAACAGATTTGAACAAGGCAGGTGAGATTTTGTTTTACATTTGTAATACACTCTACAGGTTTTAAAAGGTGAAATATTTTATTTCTAAACTTGTTTGCAAATATACTATCTTTAGCTATCTTTATAAAATGAAGCCTGCACTGTACTTAAATGAATCTGGAAGAGTAACTGTTTATTGCATCAGGTTCACTGGTTTCTTGAAGAACACTCCTATTTCCTTGGCCTGAATGAGATCACCATAACCTTACAATATCCAAAAAAGGCAGTATCAACCTAAAGAAATTCCACTTACTAATTAATTTCATTCTTTTCTTACCCAGCTAGTTCAAGACTATGAATAAAATCAAACTGAGCTGCTGTCCTCCAAAACACAACTTTTTATCCTATATATACCCAATGATTTCCAAAGATTTCAGAGAAATTTCTGCTAGTCATTCACACTTGGACAAAAGAGGAAGAAAATTCAAGTCCAAACTGAAAAGTAACTTATGTGTATTTGTTCGGGGTTTTTTTATCTTTCAAGCAACAAAAATGTACTGTTGCATATTTCGTTTCCTTCATCATACCCCTTCCACCTTTAAGCTTTGCCTGAAGGAGGAATGGAGGACCAAACTCTGCACTCGAGGTAACTTTGCAGGTCAGTTCCAAAGTGTCTCTGAAAAACTTTCAGTTTCAAATTTTTTTCCTCCCTATGGAATTACACAGCACATAAAGATTTCCTCAGTTTTTATTCTCTCTCATTTCTCAGGTCACATTACGGCAACTGCATAACCATCTCCCATGGTCATCAAGGCATATTTTGGTCATGCTATCAGAATGTTCTTAGTTGGGCATGCTCCAGACCCTTAATCACATTCACAGCCCTCTTCTGGACTTGTTCTGGGATGTCCACATCTTTCTTGTACTGGGGAGCCCAGAACTGGACACAGGACTCCAGATGTGTCTCCTCAGTGCTGAGTAAAGGGGAAGGGTCACCCCCCTTGACCTACTGGCAATGGTCTTTCTATTGGTTTATTTCTCTTCTCAACACTACTGCACACGCACCTGTGGTAATTCTGCAAGCTGAAATCAGGTGTTATGTAGTACCTGGCCTAAAGACATGGTTTGAAGATCTTCCTAGTGTTCAGACTAACTTATCCACTGTGAGGAGGGAGGAGAGGAGGGAAAATCAGCTGTTTTTTCCAAACTAATATTTAATGCAATTTTTCCTTGGGTCTTCCTTCTCTCTAACTCCACATCTAGTAGATGACAAACGATGGGCAGTGATTATTTCATCTCAATAATCCCTGGATAAGGATTTAGCTTAGGTAAGAAACATGAAGGAGTTGAAGGCTAGGCAGACAGTAGTAATGAAAAATAAATACGGTAAAAGATCTCCTAGATACTCACTATCTGCTTTGAATTCTGCCATTAGATGCTCCGAAATCAGTTCTTCCACTGAAGATTCCAGCTTCCGCTCCCCATCAATAATCCAGGGAGTCTGAGGTAAATTCCTCGAATATTTATTGTATCTTCCTGTAAAAAACAATTATGTTACCTGTAATAATTTGAATGTAATGGACAAAAGCTCCAGTATTGCACAGCATAACACACATAACTTTGTTCCGAGCCTTGTGAAAATAAACTTACAGGCTTAAACTTATTTTATGGCAAAAGCATTACAACGACAGCATGAAACACATGCCACTGCACCTACGAGAATTTCAGTATCTGAGATGGCCAGCTTAAAGGCAGACTTGGAGAGTCCGTTGTGGCAGTCATACCTTCAGGTATAACCACAGAAACAAAACTGTAAGTAGCCTGACACAACTGGGAATGAAACCCCAGAGGTTCAAGTGCCTAGTCTGAGTCAACTTAATTCCAAAAGGAAAAATGTTTTTCTCTTAAATCAGACTATGGTCTTTAAACAGCCTCCCATATACCAAATTAGGGCTAAACATATGCTTGTCCACCAATGTATATATGTCCCAAGTGAAAGAGTTTCCCAAACCCCCATGTATCAAGTAATTCAGGTTTCAATCCAAGTTCTGCCATTCTCTGAATGTTTAACAAAAGCAACCCAAACTAAAATGCTTTGGCTTATTACAAGGAAAACCATGCAAGCACAATGTCTCAAAAATAAACCAGTACAAATTTCAAGAACCTTGAAAAGCTGCCATGTAAAGAGATTGCTATCCGCTGGCTGATTCCAGTCATAGTCTTGTGTAATGTCACACTAGCACACCGTCTCCTGCAATACCAGGACCACTACAACCAAAGAGCAAGTCTGACATGGATGACCAAGATGAGCTTTCTTATTGCCAGGTTTTATAAGAAGTGAAAATATGCACAAAAGAAGGAACTTATTGAATAAAGAACAACGAGTAACCCTCCTGCACAAACAATTTTCAATCTGAAACCTTGCATATAGAAAAAAAAAGGAGTTCAAAGTAGCTGTGTATATTATACTGTGCCTCTGCCATCTCAATTTTTTTTGGTTTTCAGTATCATGTTTTCCTATTTCTAACAACGTTTCCTTCTTGCATTTTGAACTGCAGAAAAAGCCACACAAACAAATGGGGAAACTGACTCATACTGTCTCACTGGGGCAAATAATGAAAGTACTACGATTAATCACCCAGAAGTCAGCTTCACACTGCTAAATTCTCTTTCCATAAAGTGGAAAAAGGAAAATATCTTTTTTTTCTCTCAACTCCCCATTCTAATAATTTTAGCTTCTGATGTGAACAAAAGTGGATTAAAAAAACCAGAAGGTGTTTCTCGGTTTGACAGTTCTCCCGAACCTTTAAAAAAAGTCTGTGGGGAAGCAATCAGTGAACACTGAAGAACAAGAGGGCAATATGAACTCTGAAACTGTGCTTACAAATTAAGATCCTGTCTCATTTAAACTGCTGTAATAACAAAATAACTGCACTGTACTCAATAAATTCTTCTATTCTGGATTTAATTATTCAAAAATTAAAGACAACATCCTGCCTGGGGTTTTTTTTGTTTTGTTTCGTCTGGAACAAGCTATAAACTATTAATTGCAAAACCAGTATGAAATCACATGCAGAAAGCTAACAATCTGTCTCTTTCTCCATACAGATGAATTCTGAAAAAGCTATTCAACAAAACAACCTAAAAATAAAGATTATCTTTGGAAAAGGTTAAAAGACACTGGGTATCAATGTACCTCTAACTGTTTAATCAGTAATTAAAAATAAGAAACAGGTATGTAGAGAACACCGACTAGCCTGCCACGAGAACATTCACTTTTGCATCTTTTCATTTTACATTTTCTTTTTTTTGGGATTTGTACCATCCTTTGAAACACAGCATGCTGGATTAAGGTTGTAGGGTTTTTAAAAATAATCTCTTTGCATATATTTAAATAAGTGTTTGTTTATACACAGTACTCTTGCAGGCAGGGGATAAAAATGTTGAATTACCTTAACTCAGGGACACCAAGTGTGGTTGCATTACCTGTCTCACCCAGTTGTTTCAGATGCCATCTTGGTTCGAAGGGGGCAACTGGAAAGAGCTAAGCTTTCAAAAATTTAACCTGTATTATTCTCATTAAGATTGGCAGTTTTGGATGGAATAATATGCAAATAAATCCAGATGGTGAAAACCTCCGGATCCAAATCAAAATCCAAGCAAGTGAACAGCACTGCTGGGAGCTTATTTAGCGGGGAAGTGCCTTTCCCAGATCATGTGCTTATTGTGAGGGGGCATGTTAAAACTGCAGGATTTACAAGAGGAAGAAGTGAGCAAGCTTTGATAAGAGGGCAAAATTCTTCATTTCATAAACTGCTTCTGGATAAGCCCCCTTAATGAGCAGGGGCACAAAGTTGTTTTAAAGCTCTACATCACCCTGTGCTGTCTCTAGAAGAGAGAACCCTTCCATCTCTCAAAGCAAAAGAAAAACGATGGCAAGGAAAAGTAGGATCTCCCTAAATATTCAGAAGGGAAGTGTGCACACACTGGGAGCAGCTGAAGTGACTTTGCTCCCCTCTTGCAGCTCCTACCAAGGAAAATGACCTTGGCCCTGATAGAGCTGTCTGCAGCTCCTGCTCCTCTTCAATTATGTTCCACCACACACTGTCTCCAAGTTTAAATTCACAATGTAAGTGCAGGCAAACAGTTCTGATTTTAGCACGTTGATCTGTAATTTCTAACTTTTGACAAAATCATATCTTCAGCAAAGGCAAATATAATTTCTTCCCCTTTCAAATGAAGTCCACTTTTGGTTAGAGCTAGAACTGTTTCTTTGCTTTTTATACTTAATTACAGGAATGAACAAACAGCAAGAATCTTTTAGGTCTTGCAGCAGTATTAAAAATTTATGTTTAAGACAACACAGCAGCAAATAAATGGATTACTTTACCAGCCACAAAAACTGCACCATTATTGCACTGAATTTCCAGAGTAACACAGAGGTTCTTTGGTGAACTTGGGGGACACGGAAAATGCCTGTATAAAAAAGAGATTTAAAAACACTAGTAATACCAGAACATGAAGGAGCATCACCATAGCAATAATGGCATGAAAGATGACAACTTCAGCTACACAAAAAACAGCAACACTATAAACTCAGTTTTCACATTAAAAGCTGGAACACCAAGAAACGGATAAATGCTAAGCAAGTCAAGACCACCACATTACAAATACTTTTGTCAACCTATTATCAAATATTACCAAAGTATAGCGCTCCAAAGTGTGCTAGTAAGATGTACCATACTATAGCTACACCAATAACAACACTAAATACTGCATGAAAACTAGCTGCAGGATCAATTAGTAAATCTTTGCTGAGAATCAAAGAAAAAAATGCAAAGACAGTGCAATTAAGCACAGTGAACTACAGAGAAGGTGTCTGTTGATATCTTCCCACTAGTTGTGATTTTTACCATATTACAGCACTTTTCTTAAAATTCATTTGGAAATACGGGAAAAAGTCTTTCTTGTAAAGAGAAGTTTGCCTTACAGACTCTAAGGTTCAAAATACAAAAGGAAGTTCCATGATTTCTAAATGTCTTCTGTGGTTTTGGGGATGTACATGAAGATTTTTATATGTAAATGATTGGCAATACTACAACAAACTGTTTTCACTTCTAATCATTCCAAATCCTGTGCCAGCCCCAAGATCTGCAGTGCCATGCTGCCAAAAGCACAGAGTAGAACCGCAGCTCTCTGACCCACAATTTCTCCTCTGTGCTGCTCCTGAGATAACCAACCAATGAAGCACTTCTACTAATGGGAAAAAGACCATCATTTTGTCATGTTGTATTCCATCCTCTGTGGCTTAATTCAAGCATTTTGACATTACTCCTTAAATAAAAGATCTGGAATGACATTTTATTACCAGACAAATTGTAAACACAACACATCTTTACCAGTAAACTTGAAGAATTTTAACCACTACTTGAACACCTAATGTTTTCCTCTCCATCCTAATCCTATACAAAAGCACAATACTAGGAACTAGTTTTATTATACACTTACTTAAGAAAATCCTCTTCTTTTATCTTCTCTAGAGCTTTAATAACTGCCATTCTAGTGAAAACAGACTGCACATTGAAATAAAAAAAATTAGTCAAGGACTAAGAGAAGTGAAGAAAAGATATGCCTAAGGAAGAAAAAAAACCCTAAAACATACATACCATACATTTCTCACAATATAGTTTTTTCACTTTGTTTTGTGTTTTCTTATACCTAAAAGCAACACTAGATCAACAAGAACTTATTGTGATCTTAACCGTGCCTTTAATAGGGCAACCAAGAGCAACAGATAATTTCCCCAAAATCTATTCAAGTAACTTTACTCAGCACATGAAAGCAATACAACTAATGCAGCTGACAGATTGGAACATAACAGTTATTTAGAACTAAGATTTGCCCCTTTGTTTCTAGAAGACACATGCAAAGAGTAGTATATGTTTCCTCACTCTGTTTTTGCACAGAAAAAAAAATAACAAATGCCACTGACTTTCAACAGGTCTAAAGTTACTGTCACACTTCCAAATAAACCTACTCCAGCTCCTTAGAATATTTAATTGTTAAGTTTGCCCTTTGATTAGGTGAAAGGAATGCTAAACATATCTTTAGAATCTTTATTTTAGATTGCATACAAAAGTGTGCAGAAGCAGGAACAAAAAAAAAGGAGTGCTTGAGAGCTCAGGTCCAAATTTGCAGAATAGATTAAAAACAGAACCCTAAATCCATGAACAGAAACCTTAGGTAAGTATACCTATGTCTTAGCTTTCAACTCAGTGACAGTAGGCAGCTAGTTCTTCTGAAAATAATATTGTTGAGTAGATATCGATCTATAAACTTTAAAAGTTTATTCACTCAGAAGTAAGGGCTCTGAATGGTAGAGATTGACAGTTCCCAATGTGTGGAAGTCAAGCAACTTCAGTCTTCTGAGCTGCATCAATTCACAAGGGTAACCTGATAGTAAAAGTAGTAATAATAGTACCATAGTGTCAGGAGCCATGCCTACCATCCTCTATGCATAACCAGGCGCTTCTGTTGATAACTCAACTGAGCCTAAGGCAGAAAACACATAATTTAGGTTCCTAGAACATTCCTCTCAGTTCAACTTCTGTGCACTACCTCTCATCCTTCCACCATGAGCCACAGTGGGCTCAGAGATTCAGTTGGGTCCTCCATAAAGACTTCTCCAGACTGAACAAGCCCAAGTTCCTTAGACTCTCCTCCTCCATGTGCCCCAGCCCCCTGACTGCCTCAGTGGTCATCTGCTGAATTTCCAGTTTAACGATATCTTTTTTGCAAACTGGATTGGGGATTAGGAAAAAACAGTGAAAAATACCAGGTCAGTGTTTGGGAAAATTTGCTTTAACACAGAGTTCCTGGATGCCTTCAGGAAAGCTGCTCTCTTTCTAAGCATAACTAGAGATAATAGCACTTCCCTTCCTCACAGAACAGATCAGCGGGAAAACCCTGAAACTAACAGCAGGTTTAAATAAGTATGTACAGCAGATGACACAGAAATTTTCAATCAGAACCCAGTTTTTATACTACTTCTCTGATCAACACAGCCCTTGAAGCTAGATTCAAGCACAGCTTCTTTGTACAGATGAACCTCCAACAGCTCTTCAGAGTCAGTATTTTTTCCTTTACATTCCCCTACATCTTGTTGCCTGTGGTTTAACTCCTTATGGGGGATTCCCCCCTTTTTAAAGGAAAGCAATACAGCAAGCAGTCAGTTGTAACAATACAATCCTTCTAAAAAAAAGACTTGCATTTATTGGTCAGGTGGAGTAGAGTAGGCAGAATTCCTGGGTCAGACTGCCTCTGCCAAATGTCGGTAGACTCTTCACCAGAAAGAATAAAAGGCCTTGCACAGACTTCTGATAGAAGTTACTTGTTCTCCTTCTGATCACATCCACTGTCCTACTTATATCAGTTTCTCTCCAACTGTTTTTTTATTCTTACATGTCCTCTTTTCTATCAATGATTGCATGTGTGCTCAGGGCCTGCAACAAGTGGCAAGGTCCCTTTTCTTTCGTCCCTCCCTCCAGAGGCAGAGAGGATAAAACCATCCTGCGTGTATTGTGTCTTTCATTCAGATCAGAGGACGTGAAAACTGCAGTATGAACATTTCTCTTCTGGCTGCAGAGTCTCATCTTCACAACGTGGCTTATCTGAACTGTTTCACCCATGGAGAGCTTGAGGATCATGTTTTGTGCTACTTTTAATGCATGACAATCAAATTCCTAGATCTTTAGGGAGGTATTTACAGAGAACATTCCTAAAATTATGGCCTTTAGACAGTCTGGAAAATGAATGACCTAAAGAAAAGACTCAAGCTGTTAGTTTTCCTAAGCAGAGAAATGTTAAGTGAATAAAGGAGACAACTTTATTTTCAGACAATTGAAAACTAGAGAGATTTTTGATGAAGGAAAACCAGACATTAAACACTGACAGAATGCCCAGATAAGTGCTTCATTGTAGCCACTGCTGTGAAATTCTGAATGTCAGAAAAGAAATACAACAGTGATCGGATCCTACCTGTTTGTTCTTCGCTGGTTTGAAACAGTCTGGACAGGCTGTGGCTCTAAATACAGAAATTAAAATTAGCTGCTTCTCTTACATAAAAAGAAATAAACAGACAGGCAGACATGTAAGCATAGCATGTACATGGTCTTTGTACTAATATGTCCAGTGTCTCACTTCCACAGCTTAGCACAGAGCAGATTTTAAAATTAATCACAAATGGTGGAGGATCTGTGGTGTGCATTGCTGGATCTAGAGAGAAATCATGGACAAAGCTGTGTAAGCCTCTTTTGCTCTCACCAGCATAAATGTGTCTTACCTTTGAGATGGGATGGAAAAGCACACAAGAAGTTTGGTTTTCAGTCCTTTCTAATCCTTCTCAATAAAGATCATGATTAATGTTTAACTTCTATGCCAGATTTGATGACATCTTGAAATCTATACTTGCTGTTCTTAGACAATGCACACTACAAACTAGAGATTCACTCGCTGCTTCTGGATAGGAAAATTCAATTTACTACAGAAAAAGTAACTCCAGGTGTTCATTACCATTTGTGCTTTGCCTCTTCAAAAGGAAACTATTGGTTGTTTCATGAAAGTGAAAGCCAAGTCAATGAAACACGTTTTCTGAGTACCGTAGAGGAAGTTGCTGTTCCTATTAGTAAATTTCTATGTATGCAGTTAGAGATGATTTCCAGCCTACAACACAATCTATCATTTCTCGCTGGTGCTTTTTAACACCTCTGTAACTACTTTAGACCATAAGGAAGCAGGATCTGACCTCTTGCTGTTTCTACACAAGCAACTTGCCTGGCTGGTTTGTGACACAAAGCATCACAAATTCCCTCTTCCAGAATGTAAAGAACACCTTACCTTTAAACATAAATCTCCAAATATAATTTAACAAAAGCCAATTCAATCTTTCATGTCAAATGAAGGGTCATTTTAGCACACTTCGCTACACATCATTGTGTAAGAACAGCTTGAGAGATGAGAAATTGCAGATGCCACACTGGGAAATCCCACCCAAAAGCATTCCTGGAGGACTTCTCCAGGTTGAGACAATTTTGCTTCTATTTTGCTCCGACAAAAAAACATGACTGTCATTTCTAAAGCTGTGACAATAGCCAAATTTACCATATTTACATCAATACCAAGCCATTTCCTCAGAATATGCCCAGAGCTAGGCATTCACATGTACTTGACACTTGAGAAACGACTGTGTAATTAAATTAGGTAATATGCTGTTACTTTAGAAAAATGTCTAAAACCTTAATTGGTGTTTAAGGCAAATAAAGGGATATTGTCAAGACGTGGAATAAACCTGAGTAGTTGGTATGTGGAACTGAACGTTACACCTTTCACCTCTACAACTATTCTGCTTGGAGCACTAACATTGGCACCATAACAAGCTCGACATCAATATTTTTGAAACATCACAGAAAGGATGGAAGGATAAGTTGAAAATCAGAGCTGAGAGGTTTCAGAGGAAGAAAGAGCACTACAGAAAACAAGAACTGGTCAAGTAAAGTTAAATAAATAAGAACAAAAGGGTGCAGGATCCAGAAACTTTTGAGTTTTTACAAGATGGCAGGCAACATTATTTATAATTGTAGTTTGGCCTTACTACTTTCTCCCTTTTTTGCCCAATCTTGAAGAAGCTGGAAAGGAAAGATGCTGGAAAGATGCAAATGCTGGTAATCAATTCTTCCTAATATCTGGTCTGTCACCCAGCATGCTTTCCCTCACCCCTTATCCCAAGACAAATGAAGGATGCAGTTGTTGAAAACCAAGAAGGTGGCAGATTGGGCATTCAAGTAACAATCACAAATTGCAAGAAGCAGTAAAATTAGGAAAATTAATAAAGGCTGCAAAGGAAATCTCTAAGTCTCAAGAGATGAAATCTCTATGCAACAGGGAAGTCAGAAATTCTATGCCAAGCCTCTTTCTATGTTAAGATTTAACTTGCATTAGGAGCACAAGTGATAAAACTGAGTAAAACTTAGGTTTTCCAGGAAGCATCAGCAAACAGGAAGAGTGAATCTAATCCAAAATATACTGCTGCTAGATTTTGAGAAATCAGATTAAGTGGTAGTTAAATTCAGAGAAATATTTTGCTTCTTTGTGTATAGCAGATGTTCTACTGGGCCAGGCCAAAAACTATGCGTAGTGGGCAGGGAACTTCTGTTTGTTTTAACTGACCAGCTAAGATGGATTAATTCACTTCTAAGCCTTCCCTCCCATCCCCGTTTCCAACAAGAGTAGGAAAACCTAGCCATGACCTCAAAAGATTCCCCCACCCACAACCGCATGGTTTGAATTTTTTTAAAATAAATTCATTAAAATAAATTATTGAAGAGGGTAATGACGTTGAAAAGGGCTGAAACAGAACAACTTATCTGAATGTTCTCCTTCCAGTTCAAATCAAAATTCTATATTATTTTGTTTATTGGCTTTAAAGCACAGAATTAACCAGAAAGAGACAGCATAACTTTAAGCTCTGCAACTCAATCTGAATATGAGGAAGTTTAGATGCAGGCCACATTCTAATAGATAAACACTGTATATTCTCATCTGTAGCAAATCCAAAACAACAATGTTGCACAATATTTAGATAAAGATCTTTTGTTACTTATATAAAAACTTACAGGAAATGGCACTCCTCCTCTGTTTCTGGGTGAGCAAAGACCACGCTAACTTCAAACAAACTCTAAAATTAAAAAAAAAAAGGTGGTGGTAATAGTTTTTTTTAAACAAACAGGAAGGATATTTTCAAGCATCTTTATTGTAATGATAGGAAAACAGTAAAGAGGTAGATTAAAAAGTAATCCATTTATTTGACAACATCATCTAAAGACATTCAAACATGTGCCATAATAGTATTTGCATTGCTGAAGTAACCAATCATGATCTGAGAGCACTTCAAAGACATGACTGACCTACACGTCATAGATACCAGCCCCATTTTGCACAGCGGGGTCTGAGTCAGAGACAGTTATGATCAAAGCCTATTACGGTCACTAAACTTAAACTTTCTGGGAGAGCAGAGCATAGCATGGAGTAAAGATAAAAACTCTGTAGTAGTCACCACTGTAAAATTTTGTCAGAGGCTTCGTTTGCAATGACTGGATGGCCTTGGGGCAAAGAAAGGCGCCATGTCCTAGTGGATTGACAGCTAGACCATAAACTCCAGTGTAATCTCAATTCTACCCCCAATTCCCTCCTTGGCCTTGGGCAAACAACAGTCATTACTTCTGTTATTCAGATACCAGAATACCTCAAGAGAGCTATTGAAAAGATTGGTTAATATTCAAGTGCCTTGTAGATAAAGAGTGCTAGACAAGTAACTTTTATGGTACAATGTCTGGAGTGGCTTGGTGCCCAAGTGTTGTAGAGCTTTTGCTAACTTCGTATCTAAGAAGTTTCTTCTTGGATCATCTTCAGGGTAACTGAGCACTTCTTCCTTCATTAAGACAAAAGGGATGTTTTCAATTAGCACACCTGGGAAAAGACATCTGTAATTACTATGTAAGGTAACAAACCAATGTACAGACTAAGTGAGTCTAGTCCTGGGGTGAGTCCTATCACTGATTACAAGTGAAAACTGCAGGCTGCCTT